GATCCCTAAGGCAAAAAATTGCTGTACTTATGACTTAGGTGATACTACAGAATAAAATGTTAAATTTGCAGATAAATTATAGAATCATAAAATTATTTGGGTCAGAAGAAACCTTAGATAATCGAGATCCAATCTCCTGCATGGGCAGGGACACCTCCCACTAGGCCAGGTTGCTCAGAGCCCCATCGAACCTGCTCTTGACCACTTCCAGATAGGGGGCATTCACAACTTCCCTGGGCAACCTGTGCCAGTGCTTAGTGTACCATCTTCACACTAAAGGATTTCTTCCTGAGCTTCAACTTACATCTACCTTCTTTCAGGTTGAAACTGTTCTCCTCATCCTATCATTACATGCCCTTGTAAAATGCTCCTTTCCAGATTTCCCTAGCCTCTCTTCAGTGAAACCAAGAGTGACATAAATCTTACTTCAAGGCATTTTCCTGCAGCTCAATTTAATTACACATAGCAATGCATTTCCTCAAATTTAGAATCAGTACTTGGCTTACATGTGAATAAAACATGCACTTCTATGGAGGTTTTGATTAACACATATCATCACCTTAAAGATGAGAAACATGATTTCCTGAGTACTTCAGGAAAATTATGACCACTTCATACTTGGAAATCAGCCTTGCAGTCCAGCCTTCTATCTGTACAGTCCCACTGCTCTGAGATATTTCTGAAAGTAGTAAAATGAAAAGTTTTACCTGACTCAATCAGATTTCACCCTCCCTGGTACCTACCAACTTAAACCATGATGGACAAACCAGTGGTGCTCAGGTGAAACCTCTCTAGTGCCATGATTTCAACAGAAATTAAGGTTATTTAACCCCTTCTGGCCCTTGGATTGAGAAGCTACCTATCCTACTTTCTGATCTAAAATAAGATTGATTCCAGCTATGTAGCTTCTTACAGGTATTTTTCTCTCCCGTTCTTGATGACGTGCAATACTGGCACTATGCAACCTGTTATACAACATTTACTCTGATACAGTTTCCCTATTATCTAACTTAATTTATTTTTGGTGTGGTTTAAGCTACTTAACATCATGGGACTATTCCCCTTCCTTATGAAGCAGCATTTTTACTTATTTGATGGGCATATTCTTCATTCCACCAAACCTGATCTTTAGCTAAGCAGTAGTTTGCCTCTCTGAGCAGAAAAACACTGTAAACAAAAATATTATGCCACCAATAAAAGGTCTTAATTTATACCCTATTTATCAAATTCAACAAGAAAGGTCTACACATTCCCTCTCTTACTGACTTCCTTATGCTGTACATTACTGAAATGTGCCAATAACTAACAGTTTTATGGCTTCTTTTTCTATTTTCTTAGTTAAGACTTGTTGAAAAAGCTGCTCCAACTGAATATCCTCAACTTCAGTCTGTATCTTAAAAATCATTTGGTATAACACGATGTTAACAGCATTGATTCAGGATAAGAGGTAACATATTTATCATATTTATATTAGTTACATGCAAATATCAACCCTCTTACTGATTTATCATATATGTTAAATACTGAACTCCTGAGTTTCTTGCTCCTTGTTAAGTCAGATTTCCCAATGAAGTTTTTAGATGGCTTACACTTAGAATAAGAACATAATGGTTAATGCAGAGACAGGCAAGCCTGCGACAGCTTCCCATGACCTAAAGTAGATGCTGCTCCAGATTAAATTTAAACTTATTTTCCAATGGGCAGTCATCCAGACCACAAAACCCACCACTGCTCACAGACTGCTGCTGTGCTGCTTCAGTGTCCAAGCTTTTAAAATTTCATAACATTTATCCTTCACAAAAAACAATTTTTACAGTATACTCAGTGTAAAACCCTATGCTAATACAGCATTACATTTGAGATTTCAAAGCTTACAAAAATGAAAGATTAGGGTTATATTTTCCAGAGCAACATGAAGCCTTGCCCACTTTTGTTTATATATTTTAGTAAGATGCTCCTTCACACAACCCCACAGCACTGAGAAGTGTGACAGAGTATTCAGCAAATGGGATATGACACTGGAGAAGTAGATGTAAGATAAGCAATCTGTGAAGAAGTTTTCATTTCAAATTTTTGCTACAGCCAGTGTTTCAGGCATATGATGAAAACTTGGCAGTATGTAGATCCATATATACTACATTTCATTTTCTCAACAAATGACAAGGTGAACACTTCCTTTCTGAAATATTCATAGTACATTAAGAATTGGAAGAAAAATGAGATCCAGCAGCTTCCCTCTCTCCCCAAGTACAACTTAGGATGTAATAAATACTTTCTAAGAGATGTATAAATTTATTTATGCTTTGCATCTAAAATGCTGGATGGATCCTTAAGGCCATGTTCCTCGCCATGTTAAGAGGAAGAATTATTATGTTCTATTATAGAAGCAATTGAATTGGGTGAAGCTTCTACTTATTCCCAACTGGGTAAAAAACCCAATACTATTATGTATCATTGTATTTGATACATGAATCAGAGAAGGGAGTTGTGGCCTGATTCCAGTTTTACACATCTTTATTCTGAAAGGCTGGGTCTGTAATTCTATACAGCAATAGTGAACTGTTGAGCAAAACTAACCTTAAAAAAGCTCAACTTAAAAAATTATTTGCCCTGAAAGCTGTAAGCATGAAGCAACAGAATACAAATTGGATGTTGTGAGAAGTGCTATGATTATAACCAGGCCAATTTCAACTTCAGTTGTGAGGATAAAGTTAAATGCAGAAGACATATGTAGAAGACATATAGAAGACATTTGCTTTAGCTGAAACACAGTAGCCAAACAAGGACAGAGCAGCTGACATGTCAAAGCCAGGGGAATGCACAATACCCACCACTCCAAACAGAACTCTGCCTCTGTAGCAGAGGTGGCATAAAGGAAGGACAGACACCAGTGCTCTCCTCAATTCAGACTGCTGCATAAGCTGCTACCTCAACAGCCCTTGCAGCAGAACCAACAGCCATTCCTGCGTTCATACTTCCATTAAAGATCATCATGTTCCATAAGATAACTCCTGCTCATGAAAAGAGAAGGCTATGAGGAAAATAACCCACAACTGTCTCCTGCTGTAAGAAGGCTCAAAGTGTAACTGAGTCCACAGAAGGGCCATGAAAATGGAATGAAACACCCCTCCTTTGAAGAAAGGCTGAGAATTGGGATTGTCCAGCCTGAAGAAGAGAAGGTTCCAGGGAGATCTTATTGCAGCCTTTCAATACCTAAAGGGGGCTTTATAAGAAGCACTGAGAAAGACTTCTTAGTAAAGCCTGCAGGATAAGACAGAACTAGAGGAAATGGTTTTAAACTGAGAGGGTAGATTTGGATTGGACATGAGGAAGAATTTTACTGTGACAAGGGTGGTAAGACATTGGAACAGGATGCCCAGAGAGGTTGTGAATGTCCCATCCTTGGAAGAGTTCAGGGTGAGGTTGGATGGGGCTTTGAGTAACCTGATCTACTGAAAGATGTCCCTGCCCAGTTAAGAGTATATGATAGCTGAAAGTCCCATCCAACCCAAACCATTCCATGACTCTATGACCCTGTGGTTCTTGAAATGTCCTGAGGCAACTAACTGCTGTGTCTACTCTAATTTGTGTACTTCACCTTTGGTAAGTATCATCCCTGGTGAAGTGTCACTGAGACACACTCATAGGTTGTTCCTGCCACACAAATTATTAGACTATAATATCAGAGAAAACTGTTGTAGCACAGCAAGAACTACAATTATATAAGCATAATATGACTGACTATCAGCAGAAGATGAATTCAAGCTGCAATATATTATCAGTAATATTCAATGCCAATAGCAGAACTAACTGAAGAGAAAATTATGCTTAATTTCCTAAAGGTTACCTCACTGATTTTAAACAGTATGCACACCTGAGTCTAAAAAAATGTGGCCACAAAATCGCCAATTCTAAAATACTCATATTTTAAATAACTGAAGAAAAAAAAAAATCAAGCAGCAATTGGAACATGCAATTTCATGATATTTCTAAGTGCACATGCAATACAAAAACATATTTTAAAGTTTTTCAGAATACAGCGCTAACCAAATGAAACTAGTTTCATTAAGCCAAGCAAGAAATAAGTTTTCCCAATATAAATATTTTTCTTTTTTCCTATCAGATACTCAAATGCATGAAGTAAATGGAGACAAAAGTAAGTCTGAAATACTGAATGGCATTAGATTCTTCCTGGTATTTAACAGGAAATTAATGTTTATTTATTTATTTTATTTTAGGCTATTCCTGTTCTTCCTTTGCACAGAAAGTATTATTCAGACCAGAGCACCTTAAAAAAACTTGACAGAAGTCTATAACAATAAAAAATGGGAGATGAAAAAGTAGTGAAATATGAAATCTGATACCCAGCATAATTCAATGTGCTGTAGTTCTTGCATTGAAAAAGTGATCAAATGAAAATTTGTATTTTTTCACATCAACCAAGCTCAGAAACTCACTGCTATAGAATACTGAAGATAATGAGAAAGTCCACAGCTTCAAAGAGATTGAGTAAAATCACAGAAGAAAAAGATTTTCAAAGGTTATTAGACATGAAGACATCATATCTCATTAAGTCTGAGATTCCAGTAGCTCAGAAAAATGTGGAGTACCCTTGTCAAATCCTTTTAATACCATTAGATTTTGCTGAGATGACTGGGGGTGTCCAAATGAAAGGGGAAAATCAATCTGGTACTGCTACTGTGTCTGTAAATAAAATCAGGATGCAAGAAAGCAAAGTGCACTCAAAACATTTTAAATTTTTTTAATTTAAAATCAATATATCATAGTTTACCATAAAATATAGCACATATGTATTACCTATTACATATGTAATTACATATATATTCACAGCTGTAAACCACAAGCCTGTATAATGATAAATATGGATTCATTACTTCATCTTTAATTTCATGGAGGTATCCCATTTTCTTGCAGACTGAAGCTGTGCGTATTTTAGTGTTGAACTAAGATAATTACAGCACAACTCACATAGAAAACTTTCATTTTACCGCTTTACAGGATATAGAAGTCGATGGTTCATCTGAATCATCTGGACTGTATTTTTTCCACAAAAAATTTTCATTTTTTTTCCAAAGAGAACTTTCATACATGTCTTTCTCTTCTGTCACTGGCAGATGGGGTACTTTTTCACATAGCTTCTCTATGACTGTTATGTCCGTGAGCTTTCTAAGGCTCTCCTCATTCTGCTCATTCAGCATGTCCCAGAAGTCTTTCGGTCTCTCCTTTGATTTTTCTACCTGCACTGAAGGCAATCTCCTTACTGATTCTGTAGGCCCATTTCCATCATTTCTGAAGATGTCATTGAGAATAGAGGTATCTCCAAGTAAGTCCACAAATGATTTCTTAGAAGTCTGAGCTTTTTTCTCCCCATTTTGTGACTGAGATAGGGATCTTTTTCTTGGCAGTTGTGCTCCTTTGGAATCTTGCTGTCCTTCACTACTTTTTACAGACAGCAGCTTAATTATTTCTGATTCACCACTTAATGAGGACTTGAATGCCTGACTGTTCCTCCTTTCGATATGTTGAGCAGCAACAGCAAGTGATTGTTTATGTTTTGCATCAACACACATATATTGCATGTAGGAGTCATTGTGAAGTTGCTCTGCCACTCCTTTGCAGCTCTGCTGTCTCTGCATTTCTGTAGTTTCACTCAGAAGCTGGCTGGTAGTTGACAAAGATTTAGACTTAGGTCTTTCAAAATTAACAACAGATTTTCTTTTTTGGAAGTATGTTGCACCTGATTCTCTTTCCTCAGAGTAATGTGAAGCTTGTGCTGGTACTACAACTGGGAATAAAGATTCCATCTCTGGATGTTTGGTAACATAGAATTCCTTCAATATCTTCTGCCTTTTTTCTGATGTAGCTTTTACAATACGTTCTGCCAGTTTCTCCACTGACCCCATATTAAAGTGGGATACCATTTCCTCAAATTGTCTCCTGTAATTACGAAGAGGGAAAAACAGGCTGACACCTTTAACTAGAAAAAAAAAAAAGCTGTTTTCAAGTAATTAATTCAATTCACATTCTTCACATACCCCAGAAAGAAATTGCAAAAGGGAACTTCCTTATCAGGAGCTTTGTTTTCATTTGCAAAGAGCAGAAAATAACAATGATCTTATAACTGAAGTGACTTCTGAATCCCAAACTTCAGTGTGATTTCCTCAGCTTATGAGCCAAAGATTTACTGACTTTCAGCATAGGTGTGATTTCATACCAAAGGACCACAGTTGAGAAGGATGCAAGTGGACACATGCTACAGTGTTTTTCGGAAAAAAACAACAACATACCAAGAAACACAAAGTAGCTGCTCAACTCCTTTTAAAAGGAGACTTACTAAACAAGAGCTAGATAAATAATATTCAAAGGAGACAGGGACTGTCTCCTCAGTCCTACCTAGTGAGCTATAAACTATTTGTTTCCGCTATGAGGCCAAGTTCTAACCGAGGCCAAGTTCTAACCAAAGGAGATCATCCTAATCAAGCTAGCCATAGTTTGGAACCAGGTAACCTAATGAGAAGGCTGGAGAAGTGGGTTTATGCTCCTTTGTCAAAGAACAGGTATGAAATGTTGCCTTTCCTGTAGGAGGCTTTCAAGTAGGCAGTGACACGCCTGTTCAGTCTGAAATACTGCTGGACTGGCTCACTCTAGCTATATTCTTTGGGTGTGGTGGCTGCAGGCAGCTTCCCACTCAGCCTTACAACTCCAATACAGCAGCCTGAGGCTCTTAATCATCCTCCACTGTACAGTGGATCCAAATGTACTACAGAAGTACAACTGCAAGTGAGGTGCTAACAGGTGACCTACTTAATGTTTAAGAGTGAATGTGCTTCAACTTTTTGCCAGATATGACTTTAGGATCTTGGAATAAAATCCTTAATTCCTTCATTGTCTTTGAAAATTGTTGCCTCAAGAGATTATTGATAACTATTATTACAATTTTGAGTATTTTTACCATGAATCATTCTTCTCTGGATGACTCAAATATTTAGAATTTGCAGTGCCTGTAACAGTAACCAAGTCTGGCACTTCAACATTAACAGTTTGGTTAGCCGGAGCCAGCTGCCTAACGTGACAGATTCTGAACACAGAGATCCTACCTAGATACCAACTCTCATATAGTAAAGTTATTTGAATCAAAGCTAAATTAACAATACATACCAATTCCCAGTTCTATAGGTTTGCCTAGTTAGGTACAGCTTCCCACTATTTCCACATACCATCTGGCTACTGTTATTGAACTTCTACCTACATAACTATGGCATTTCAGTATTTTTATTAATAACAGAAATAACTTGGGGAAAAAGAGAAAACTAGAAGACATATAAACTATTATCCTTCCAAACGTGAGGGCGGAAACAACATTATAAAACAAGTATTAAAAATATTGAGCCCCATGTTAAAAAAAATACAGGTTCAATTTTTTTTTTAATGGTCTCTCAAGTAAAGTTATGAGAGCCGGGAAAAAAAATCAATAAGTAGTCAGAAGCTCATACTATAAAATTTCGTGCTTCTATACAGTTTGAGCACTGGTTTGTAGTACTTCATGGTACACATAAATGAATACTGATGGTGACGACATCTGCAATCTATGTAATATATAGCTCATTGAATCAATAGGTAAAATGATCTGTTGGTTCAATTAATTTAATTACTCAGTATGGTCCTCTTGGTATAATGTGATTGGAAGTTTCCCCTTAGTTCTACTCTTGCCACAGAATATAATCAATATTCCCTGAGTATGGCTGAAACACAGAGAAAAGCAGCTGCCTTAGAGGGAAACTGTTTTCAAGCTTAGAATTTTACTATTATCTCAACAGAACAGTCTCACCTACAGATTCCTTTTGGTGTCCTTCCAACCAGGAAAGTGGTTGAACCTACTCTGTGTACCGTTTTGATTTTCTGGGTCACAGGATGCATAACATACAGGTGATGTTGCTTACTGTCCACCGACATTTCTTGATCTTCCTTAATAACGTTCTTCTCTGCTGCATTATCGTCTGGATTTTCTTCATTTTTCTAGTATAAGGAGACATGGAAAATTGTCAAAACAGCTGTGCCTAGGACACATTCATGAGCTCTCTTATGCCAAATTCTATCCCTCTCAACTAGCACTCAACGGTTTAAGTGCTAAGAATTGGATTCAGAACTGCTGTGTAAACTCCTTACTCAGGCACAAACTTACAGAAACACTGAAGGAAAGTCTTAGTTCTCTAAGAATAAGGTGGGATATTTTTCAAAACCAGTTAATTGTGAGGCTAAATGAAAGATCTCTGTTAAGTTCTCTAACGCACAAATGGGTTAAATGAGTTGCTCCAAGTTTTCTCCTGGGGGTAGAAAAAGTTACTATAAAGAAGTTTCTCAAGATCCGCAGGAGTTTTACCAGTGAGAGCCCACGGCCACTGCAAGTTACTCTTGAAAAAATTCTCAGCTTTCTGGCAAAGACAATTGACTAAATCGGTCCCAGTTACACTGAAATATAATTGGCTCTGTTGAACTTGTGAATGTTTTTTTAAAGTTTGCCAACTTAAATACAGCCCCCACGTCCCAAATCCAGTAATTAAAAAAAAAATTATAAACATTTTCTCATTAAAACAAAACCACTGATTTCAGTTTTTCTTAAGATGTCTCCATGTTCACTAAGGGACAAATCTGAATATTGGTACTCAAGAGATACAAAGATGAGGCGCTAGGCAGAGGTAAAATCCATGCATAGATGAAAATATTCCCTATATCTTTCTACTAGTATTACTATTTAAAAAGTTAAAACTTGGGTCAACCTTCCAGCACTGTCAACAGTCCACACTGTTCTGGTTCCTTCTGAATTTGACTTCATGCATTACTGCTCTGAATTCAGCCCTCTCATGGCTGATTTCTTTCTGACTCTTTTTCAGTTTTTGTCTTCTAACTCACCAATTGAAATCTATTTCATTACAAACATTTCTTTTCAACAGTTTTCTATTTTCTGTTCCTCAAGTGCTTTCTCTACCAACTTACTGTGTTTGTGTCCCATTATGTGTTCTTACATTAAATCCCATGTTGCCTTTGCAGCACTGGTCTTGTTCATCTGAACTACTTTATGGCTCAGCTACATAACGACTGAAAAAAGTTAACCAAATTAACCCATGGAAAAGAAAAATAGTCAAAAAACTGAAATTGCACAAATAGCAACAAACATTCTCTCTCTTGGAATAAAGATACCATCCAGTTTTGCTATCCAGTGATAGCAAGTTTTTCTCTCACTTTAAAATATAGATATGTTTTAAAGATTCAATTACATGAAAAAGTTTTTCTGTATGACAGCTAAAAATTACAGTAAAAATCCAAAAGCATTCTTGTAAAACATCACATATGTACATACTGTGTGTTAAAAATACATTCTTCATGCACTGCATGAAGACTGCATAATCTTCTGATTAGTCTTCTGAAATACACATGATGCAAAGCTAAATAAATACTTAGTATAGCATACAGTATCTGTGGTATGTATTTTAAAAGAATTTTTACAAAAAGATTGACAGCAATCATAAAAGCAGGTAGTCTCTACATGTTTAGCTACATTGATGGTATTATGCATTTGCAGTGCATGTTACGGAATTTCCACTGTGCAAAGTGGAAAAAATTTTACTTAAACGACCACATACTTACTAGTCATCTGAGAAATTAAGTGCACCTATATCAAATTACCTATAACACCATTATATGTTTCTTTATTATTCACATTTTCTTCTTTCAAACCAGTACTTTGGTGGAGGACAAAAGGTGCAGCAAAATAAATCCTTTAAGGCAACATTACAGTACAGAAAATATTCCAGTGAATACAAAGAAATAAAGTTAAAGAAAGTACAATAAAATAAATTGAGAAGTGCTACTGCAAACTAGGGAAAAGAACATACAAAACTGCAGCCATTCCTTCCTGTCTTACTCTTGTTTTCTTATCCTCTCTGCTTTTCGTATACTGGACTTACACTGAAGAGGCTTCCCCTATATTCAACTGGGAAAGAAGAGGGATTACTATGTAGTTGTACAGAAAATAGTTTTTAAAGTAATCAGAAAACCTAGGGTCTCTTAACACATAAAAAATAAATAAAACAAAGCATTTATTTTCACTTTTTATATTCCACTTAGTCTATGGGTTTTCAGCATAAACACATTGTATTTTCTTATCATGGAAGATATTTTCCTTCACTACTACTTCTTTTGTTATGCCTGTCTCTGATTCTTAACCGTATACAGCAAGTTTTGAATACTAAGAATGAATACCCATTTCCTTGAATTACTTACTACAGACAGGCTGTAATCAAGAGTCCAGCAAAAATGGTAGCAGCTGCGTATTTAGAGTCCCACACCAGTTCACATTTGAGGGTAACAATCTTCAAGAAACATGAAGACAGGCAGCTGAGCATCAAGCAGGAATTTAAGTGCCACAATGTAGCAGTAACTTCTACTTAAGAGATTCCATCTTAAATCTGTAACAACTCTTGGATCTATTAGCTCCTGGTGACAATCTATCTCCTGCACATAGTTACAGCAGTTTTAAAAATAGTATATACCTAATAAACCCAATCTTTGTCTATCTGTGACAGTACAAAATTTCAGCATCTCTCCTTCCTGCAACAGGCACAAAGAGCCACCTCTTTATGGAATTAAGAGCATATGCCCTGGAGCAATGAATGCTAATCCATGTATATGCATCCCGAGACACGGTGGTGATGACTGACCACCTTAAGCCTGTGACTTCCCTTTTCCTCTCTTTAGCCACTTCGAGCAAGGCAAAAGAGAACAATATTCATCTTTTTATGTACAGCAATATTAAAATGCATGGGAGAGCAAGTGAGCAAATGCTAATAGTAAGAGGAGTGGAGAAAAAAAAACAAAATAGAGATTCAGGGATATATGCTTTTTAAATTGTCTCATGTTTGTAGCAATTCAAGACACCAGACTTAAAGTAATCTGAAATTGAAAACATGCTTGCATAATCATTCCCTAGCTGTAGCTGCACTGTGTCTGAACATCTTTCTTTTCCTGAGTACCCAAAGTATTACCATGGTAAGTATCTTGCCAAATACTGACTTCCAGTCAGCAACAACCCTCTCTGCCTTCCCCATTTAAAGATGGAACAGTGTTAACAGGCCTTTTTCTTCAGATGTGCATGAAACCACTGCTGCTAGATATCCAGGATACTTTCCATTACATGGTTGCATTGTTTCTTTTCATTTCTAAAACAAACAAGGCCTCCTCAAAACTCTAGCTGCCTTGCAGTCACCTAAATCATATAAAAGCACAAAACACTGAATTCAGCATGACTGTCCTCTTAAAACAGGGGTTGCAAGCAAACAACAAACCCTTATGTCATATTCTAAATGGTATTTTCCCACTCCCCTCAAAACCTGAGAACACACATGACTTTCCAGATATACAGTGAGGTGTGGTGGGTTTTGGATGATTGTTATTATTTTGATCAGGTAATACTTACAGCATTACAGTGAATTTATCTACCCAAATTACAACACTAAATTCTTTCAGCTAAGATTTTTTCCCCTTACAGTTTTTACTGGATTTTATCCTGAGAGTTCTCCCCTAATATGTATGAATTACTATGATATTTCTATATGCTGTTCTTGAACATACTCTATGCTTAGATATTGTTTCTATTTTACCTTAGATAATGTATTTATTTCTTCTACTTGTCAGGCCATACATACCCTGAAATGCTTTCTAATAGACGATTCATTCTTGGTCTTGTTTCCTTTTCTCTTTTACACATACACGTCAAACAAGAATTTCTTCCTAAATTACTCTGCATACCAAGGAAGACAAAGTATAATGGTGTCCCCATAGGACTCCCTGTAGTTTCTCTAAAAATGAGGCCCATATGGTCAAGATTAAAAAAAAAAAAAAAAAAAAAAGTAATCAAATAATAGAATGCCTCTACTTTCACTTGATTCTTAAATAAACCAGAACCACTTTTCTACTTACAGTGGTTGCAATACTTAATAAACTACGTACTTCAGAGCATTATGGTGACTTAGACATCGCACAGTTTTAAATAAGATCAACTCATAATATTTCAGAACAATTTCTGATGTAGACATGAATTTCCCCCTCTGAATTTAACTTTCTTAATTGAAAAGCAGACTCAGAATGATGCTATTATTCTACTAATATAGGACAGGCGAATGAGAATTAGAGGCTATTGTATAACTGATGGTTAGTACCTCAGCTGTCTTAGAAAATAAAACTAACATAGCTTAAAATTTTAGAACACTAACTCAAACTTTTTTATACTCAAACTTTCTACTAAGGTTTTCTAAAACTACAGAGAATGTTTGCTCTGAATACAAAGGTATCCAATTTTTATTGTATCACAGAAGACAAATAGCTGAAATACTCTTCAAGCTATGAAAAATGTTTGGGTTTTCTTTTATTCTGGGTTCAATTCATACCTCCAAAACATTGCACCAACACTCACACCAGTATTTTGCTATATTTGCTATTAAATGTAAAGAAATTTTACCAGAGTAATATGTAGTTATTTTCTCCTGTTTGTCATTTCTGGTTTGTCGCTTGTACAAACAGAGACCAAGGACATTCCATAAACTCGCATCTTTTGCTTGGTAAGGGAGAACTGCCCACTAAGTCAAATAAGGACTGTTTGTGTTCTATTTCTCTTTAGAAATAGAACATTCACTTTCAAGTCTGTTTTCTTCTCTGATCAGGTAACAGGGCAAAAATTTCTCATTCAGAGCAATTTAGTTCAATTTGTTGACTGTTTAACAAAAAGAACATAAGCCATATCACTTTCTTGCACCAAAAATACGACCATAAATCAATATAGTTGTTATTGTTGAGAATGAGAGGAAATAATCAGCCTGTCTCAGAACTCAAAGCTAAGATAATTCCTTATTCCAGAAAGAGCCTGTGGACTTATACCTATCTTCTTTCACCCTCTCAACCCTCCATCAAACAGCAGCAAACCCAAGAGCCATGCACATACACCATAATGAATACGCAACTAC